CACTTTGGAGTTGCGGCCTGGCTTTGCCTCCGTGTCAATGTGAAGCGAATCTTCATCTGATGAGTCATCGCTCTGTGAAGGCAAGGAAAAATCTCAAAGAATTGCAGCCAGCTACATAAGTCTGTAAGACATCCAACAGTATTGGAGTTCCCCAAAAACTTGAGGAGAGAACTGTTGCTTTATTTTCACCATAAAAAGCAGGGGCATGGTTTGAACAGGTCTCTTTACAGCTCTGTAGTTACAGTATCTTTTCAGAGACAATTTCACGCTTCCGAAGAGTGTCTGACTTATGGAAGTTCATACTTATCGATCATCTAGGCAGTAGCAGTGGAAGGTTCCCCATGTTACCTTTCCAATGGGCTTCACTCTTGTTCTCAATGCTTACAAAGTGTCCATCATTCCTGGCCATGTCCTTGTTTTGTATTATTTCCCTTTCCCCAATGAAAGGGAAGGCCAGTGACAACATTTTGTTCCTGTAAAGTTATTTCCTATTTATTTCTTTGTCTTTTCTTCTCCTCAACCAGCTCTGCCCCTAAACTCCTGGAAAACCTGCCATCCCCTTAATTTTCCCATGGTCTTCATTTCCTGCAGTGCAGATACCATCTGCCTGGATTAAGAAGAACAAACAGAACTATTCTTGAAGTCCATTAATGTTGCTTCTTAACTGTCCAGAGGGATTGCTAATGAATGACGCATGCCATCTTCCTTCCCCTCAGAGATTGGGCATGCATCTGCCACCTCTGTGCCACCATATCATGACACCCCAGGTGCCCAACCCTGCCACCACTGAAAGACAATGGGAGTTCTTGGTGCCTTGTGGCAACAGCATCGTCCCATGCAACTCATTTGAGTGGGGAGATGTCTAAGGTTAAAATTCTGCAGAATGCTTGATGGGTCCTAGTCTCTATTTATAGGCACCACTACAGTGCACAATCAAGCCCATGTACTAACTATCCCCGATCTGCTGCAATATATTAATGCAGTCCACTGCAGATAGCTACATGAAAAGCCATTACAGTTGGATATAAATAAATCTGCAAAGTCTTTAGTACATTAAGAGTATGAATCTCATTTACAGTAAGGCCCTTTTACACTGCTCTGGCAGTTTGAAGTGGCTTTAGAGTGGCTGCAAATGTAATTCAATGACTATTTCATTGAGAGACTACTGACATACTCACGTGTTTTAAGTGGATCAAGGTCAGAGGATTGAGCACTCCATAGGATCAAGCTCTTTATTTATTTCTAAGTATGTGTAATGGCACACAGATACAACAAGTATAAGAACAGAATACGATATAATACAATAATCATAGAATACCTTGTACAATACTGATTCCACCTTTGGCTTCTTAACTGGTGTGTGTTGTAACGTTTCTTTTTTATCTGATAAAACTAAAAAAAAAGAAAACAGTTAACGTTGAAACAGACCTTTCACTAATTTCAGAAACAGCCTATCGAGTCTCAGAATGCAATTTAAGTCCATTGCATTTTTTTTTAATCTTGTGCTTCAAGTCACATGTACATGTTCTTTTTTTATAGTAAAACTTATGTTAACTTTAAAAAGTAGCTTTGGAGACATGGATACAATTTAATTCCCCAGAAATAGACAAAACAGGATGCAGTCTTACAAGGTAAATCTCTCTTCGTAGTGTTTTTCTTTCTTCTAATTGGAAATTCATCAATTTTCAGTTCGCCATCATCTGATACATACTCATATTCATCTCGCACAGGTTTTGGTTTATCTTCTTTAAAATTCTGCAGTGACCCGAACACACCAGGATTCAACTGGGTTTTGACTCCCTTGGAACTGTAGAGACAAATGTTATAAAATCAGAAACGATGGCATTTTTCACATAGAAAATGTATCAAGGAGACACAGACACAAAGCCACATATCAAGGTAATATTTATTTTATATATATATGGAATCAAAGCATGCTAGCTTTGAAGACAAAGTAGCAGTTCACACTGGTTTGCATGTGTTTTGTTTTGTACAGATTTCACAGTACCAGATACTTAAGTGGGGTAAATCAAAATTGCTCCACTGACTTCAAATGAGCACTATGTTCACTTCAATTCAGCTTTATTGGTTATATAACACACATATACTACATGAAATCCTTTCATTCCATCTTAGTTGATTTATTTAGCATGTGCTCCACCTAATCTCTGGGGATATGTACATAGAATCCTAGGGCTGGAAGAGGCCTCAGGAGGTCATCGAGTCCAGCCCCCTGCCCAAAGCCTAAACTAAATCATCCCAGCCAGGGCTTTGTCAAGCTGGGACTTAAAAAACTCTAGGGATGGAGATTCCACCATCTCCCTAGGTAACCCATCCCAGTGCTTCACCACCCTCCTAGTGAAATTGTTTTTCCTAATATCCAACCTAGACCTCACCCACTGTAACTTGAGACCATTGCTCCTTGTTCTGCCATCCCTCATTACTGTGAACAGCCTCTCTCCATCCTCTTCGGAACCTCCCTTCAGGTAGCTGAAGGCTGCCATCAAATCCTACAGAATCATTTTGGTTGCCCTCTGTTGGACCCTCCCCAATGCATCCACATCCTTTCTATAGTTTGGAGGGGGCAGAACTGGATGCAGTATTCCAGATGTGGCCTCACCTGTGCTGAATAAATACAATATAAAATAAAAACTCAAATGGACAAGAACTCAAATCAGAAAAATAGCCCTCTGGACTGCAATCAAACTTAGTCCATTTAAGGCACTATTCTCAAGCAACTGCCAGAGTAAACAGATAAACCTTTCAAATGGCCATTATGCCCAATAAATTTGTGTCAGATCAATGATCAAGCGCTCAGATGATGTTTCCAATAGCATGCATGACAGTTTCTCTCAGCTGTTGATATAGAGAGGGGTAGTCTTTAGGGCAGGAGCAACACAAGCACTTCCTCATAATCACTACATTTTGATTGATGGAGCCAATGGAAATTGTAAGAAAGGCTCAGGATTTGACTCGTTGACCACAGTGGGGATTTTCCCCAATATTGATACCCAAAGAAAAGTAGCAGCCAGTTCACCTGGTTGTCTATCCCAACCACACCTACCAATAGACCCGCAATGTACTGTGGAAGAGGACAAGACCAAAGAAGAAAAGGGAGAGGAGGAAGAAGAAGGCAAAGCAAGAAGAGAGAAGAAGGACACCCCAGCTGCATCAAGTCAACTACAGTGGCATGCAGGAATAGATCACAGTGCAGAATCAGGCAGAATATGTCTCTGTATGGGTGTGTCTAGACTACAGGGTTTTGTCAATAAAAGTAGACTTTTGTCGACAAAACTATACCTGCGTCTACACTGCCGCTGAGTTCTGTTGACATAATGTCGACAGAACTCAGCAGTTTTGTCGACGACTGTAAACCTCATTCTACGAGGAATGACGCCTTTTGTCGACAGAGTTCTGTTGACAGAAGGTGTTACTGCATCTACACTGTCCTTTGTGTCTACACTGTCATGTCGACAAAGCGGCTTGCTTTATCGACAGAACTGGATGTAGTCTAGATGCTCTTTGTCGAAAGAAGCCTTTTCGACAGTATCTGTCAACAAAACTTCTGGCGACAAAAGCCTGTAGTCTAGACGTACCCTATGGCACACAGTATGAACCAATGCACAGCACACCCAGAAGGCTGGAATAGCTCCAGTGAAATTCAGCAGTGAGACTACCAGTTCAAGTATTTTATAGGTATATTATTTACTCAGTGATCCAGATCTTGTTTAATCAAATAAAGTGTAGAACTATGCTAGAAAATAGGGGATTTTTCCTTTTATTACTGTGAAAAGTGGGATTAAAAAAAGAGTAAATGAAAAAATACTGGAGTTTTAGCCTAGGGCAACTTTTTACAACCAAGATATAAACTACCAGTAAAAGAGATTTATAATTAACACATTCTAACTAGAAAACCTATGTAGAACAATACATGTACAAAATAATCTCAAATGCTTCTATATCTGTAAAACCACTGATAGGAATCTGATTTCCTCCCTAAGAAATATTTTACACATATTGTCAAAAGAATTTACTTACTTAAAAACAATATAAATGCAAGCACAATTTTTAATTTTGAACATAAGGTCCAGTTTCTTACCTACTTGTCTGAAAAAAACCCTATCCATAGAGTACAAGTATCTTTTGTAATTCAGTGTATAGTGTCATATTTTTACTTACCCAAGCAGTTTCTTGTTAGAGAAAGAAAATGTAAATTTATTGTCCTTATTTCCTGATAAAGGTGTCTTTTCCAATTTGTGTTCCTCTTCCATTTTTAATAATGAATCAGGCTTACTGTTCTACAAATCATGAAAATACAAACAAAATAAAGTTAATGTGTTACCAATATTTTTATATTTCTAAGCAAATCCTGGTATATATTACTAAATAATTAGGATACACGGAACATGTGTGTGTATGCACATGCTCACACAAAGAATTGTAGATGGATAAATGGTTGAGTTTTCGCCTGAGTTAGGCCCAATTCAGGAAAGCATCCCAGTTGAGGATATCACTTCAACACACATTTACCTTTAAACATATGCTTAAGTCCCTTTGAAGACAACAGCTGTTAAGCACATGCATAAAGATTAACATGTGCTTAGGCATTGCCCTAAATGGGAATGATCTCAAGCATGAGCTTAAGTGCATTCCTGAATCAGGCCTTCACCCAGATGCTCTTCCCAATGAAGTCCATCAGAACTGTACCCACACAACTAAGGCTATGTCTACTCTGCCGGTTTTGCCAGCAGTGAGTATGCAAATGAGGTGCTGATTAGCGTATCACTAAACCTCATTTGCATAATCTAGTCAAGCTGTTTTTGCACACAGGGGTTTTGTGGGAAAAAAAGGAGTGTGGACATTTTGGTTTTGCACAAAAACCCCATTTTCCGCAAGATCTTTATGCCTCTATGGGAAGGGAGAGGCATATGGATCTTGCAGAAAATGGGGGTTTTATGCAAAAACAAAATGTCCACACTACTTTTTTTCCCGCAAAAACCCTTTGTGCAAAAATGGCTTGCATAAATTATGCAAATGAGGTGCTGTGATATGCTACTCCGTGTCTCATTTGCACACTCAAATTTGAGCACTCATTTGCACACTTAGATGAAGCCTAAGGGTAAAATTAAGCATTGAGTCCTCCATCTTGCAAAGAAGCACACATTTTCAACAATATTTTCCTTGGTTTTATTTTTTGGAGAGAGGTTCTAACACACCTTGACATGTAAAAACCAAATGTATATACGTGATTACCCTTACTAAAATTCTGCAGAGTAATAACGGAAGAGGATGTTAAGGAATCAAAAGACGTAACTATCAGCTTGATTCCATTGCATCAGTACTATGAATCCAAACAGTTCCTTGGAATTACCCATTGGTAGAAGCTTTTTTGGATGAATGGTACTGCCACAAACTGTTTTCAAATACACCTCCCTCAATTATCAAAATTTTGAACTTGTTACATAGAAGAAAGTTCGAAACTGGGATCTACATGAATCCAATGAGTCTAAAGCAACAGGGAACACTCTTTATTTTGGCTCCTTCATGCTGCAAGTCTCTCTGAGAGAGAAAGGCTACATCTACATTGGCACCCTTTTCCAGAAATGCTTAAAACGGAACAGTTTTCCATTATAAGTATTTCCGGAAAAAGCACATCTACATTGGCAGGATGCTTTTCCGGAAAAGCACTTTTTCCGGAAAAGCATCCGTGGCCAATGTACACGCGCTTTTCCGGAAAAAAGCCCCGATCGTCATTTTCGCGATCGGGGCTTTTTTGCGGAAAAGACTACTGTGCTGTCTACACTGGCCCTTTTCCGGAACAGTTTTTCTGGAAAAGGACTTTTGCCCGAACGGGAGCAGCATAGTTTTTCCGGAAAAACACTGACAATTTTACAGTAGATCGTCATTGCTTTTCCGGAAAAGCAAGCGGCCAGTGTAGACAGCTGGCAAGTTATTCCGGAAAAGCGGCTGCTTTTCCGGAATAAGTGGCCCAGTGTAGACACAGCCAAAGTGTTTTCATGTCACACATGTAACAACTGGGTAGTTACAGACACTCTTTTTAAAAAGATGGAATACGATAATACTTCCTTTTCTTCCTGGAAGCAAAACTTCCAAATTTGACCCTTCATCTATAGTACTGGCAATGATAATTGTTACATGTTTTATATTTTTTGGATTTTACGTGAAATCAGTTTGCGTTTTGTGTTGTCATCTTTTTTTAAAATAAAACCCTTACTCTCTTCTAAATTAGTAATAGAGATGTAGCGGTGTTAGTCTGGTGTAGCTGAAACAAAAGACAGGACTATGAAGCACTTTAAAGACTAACAAGATGGTTTATAAGGTGATGAGCTTTCGTGGGCCAGACCCACTTCCTCAGATCAAATTGTGGAAAAAAATTGGCACGATCATATATACCCAAGGGATACAATCAAAAAAAAGTGAACACAAATAAAATAGAAAAATCAGATTTTAGAACAGAGGGAGGATGGGGGGGAGGCTAATGTTAATGAGATAATTATAGTAGAGGTGATATGTCAATGAGATAATGACATTAAAGGTGATATCACCAATTATCACCTCTACTATAATTATCTCATTGACATTAACCTTCCCCCCACTAGTCCCCCCTCTGTTCTAAAAACTGATTTGTCTATTTTATGTGTGTTCCCTTTTTTTTTTAATTGTATCCCTTGGGTATATATGATCGTGCCAATTTTTTTCCACAATTTGATCTGAGGAAGTGGGTCTGGCCCACGAAAGCTCATCATCTAATAAACCATCTTGTTAGTCTTTAAAGTGCTGCATAGTCCTGCCTTTTGTCTCTTCTAAACTGTATGGGCACTATCCTCAACTAGCGTATATTAAAATACATTACCACCACCAGTCATCCTCTGGTTAGGGCTGCCAACTTTCTAATCACATAGAACTGAACACCTAACCTAACCCCTTCTCTGTGGCCCTGCCCTGAGTTTGCAAAATCCCCCTCCCTCTATGGCACACGATCACCTGTCTGGAGCAGGGGGTCGAGATATGGAAGGTTGTATGGGCTCTGGGCTGGGGTGTGGGCTCTGGATGGGGTCAAATGAGAGGTTCAGGGTGCCGGAGAGGGTTCCTGGCTGGGGCAGGGGATTGAGGTGGATGGGCAGGTGAGGACTCCAGCCGGAGGTGCGGGCTCTGTGGCGAGGCCAGGGAGGAGAGGTTTGGTTTGGAGGACACTCAGCATTGGGGAAGACAGGTTGGGTGTGGCGGGGTGCAGGTTCCAGAGGGAATTTGGGTATGGGAGGGGAATCCAGCCTGGGGCAGTGGGTTGGAATGTGGGGAGGAGATTAGGAGTACGCAGCTTCCTGGCACCACTTGCACAGGTCCCAGGAAGCAGCCACCAGGTCCATGTGGCCCCTAGGACGGTGCATGGTGGGCAGCCAAGGAGGCTCCATGTGCTGTCTTGCACCACAGGCACTGCCCCTGAAGTTCCCACTGGTCACGTCCTGGCCCCTGGGTGCTATGGGGGCGGTGCCTGCAGGCTCAAGGGCAGCACATGGAGCGTCACTGGCAGCTGCTTCTGGGAGCCATGAGGAAACAGAGCAAGTAGGAGCCCTGCCTTAGCCCCGGGCCACTGTACCGCCGACTGGACTTTTAACAATCTGATTAACTGTGCCAACTGGAACTGCCAGGGTAACATACCAGCTGGGCATTCCAGCCAAAATCTGGACACCTGGTGATCTGGTGATCTGGCTCAATGAGAGCAGCTTCTTTGTTAAGAATCAGAGGAAGGTACAGCTGTTCTCTCTCCTTTGTGTATTTTGGGGTGAGCGACTGGGGGGGGGCCGTGTCTTTCATTTTGCAGATGATTAATCTTTTCTCATAAAGGCTGTAGAATGCTCTGGAATTAAGACTGCAATTATTACAGAATGAATGTTATAGATTACATTCTTCGTATTGCTCCAAAATGGCCTGGAGTCAGATTACTGCACTCCAGGAGTGAATTCAAGCTAGGTGATGTATCTCAGGAGTCTTGTCTCAATGAAGCAAACTTAAATATGCAGGACCTGATTTGGATCTCTGGTTTGACACCATTGATAGTCTACTGATTTCACTAGAGTTTACTGAAGATTTAAACCGGTGTAATTCAGATCAGATCTGGGACTACATATTAGGGGTAAGATTATGCAGCACTGGCCTAATTCTGCTCCTATTGATGTTATTCTTGTTGGCTTCAAGATGAACTGAGCAGGACAGTAACATGTGCTTTGGAAAATTCCATCCTACATGTCTATTCTGACTGAAATTCTTTTAAATTATTCTATCTAATTCTGGGAGGCCTGATCCTCTGTAAATCCAGAGTAACACTAAAGGATTCAAGGGAATTACACTTTGTGAACCAATTAGCAAGACTGGGTTTAGGCCCTATATTTTCACATTGTTAGTACTATACTCTGCTGTAACATACACCACTTCTTCCCCTATTTCTAGTATTTCCCATTGCTGTGTGATACTCCAGCACAAGTTAACAGCAGACTTTACCTTATATTTCCATTTGGCTTCTGTTTTGCTCTTATTGTGCTCTCGAATTTCGAATTTCTCCGCCTCATTTTGCTTATTAACAGCTTCCTTATTGGGAACACTTAAGACATTCTTTGCAGCCTGTAAAAAAAAAAAATCAGCACATATTCTTAAAAGAGAAAGAAATGAGCTCCACTTTTCCCAGGTTAGCTACCCTTCTCACTTTATATACAGATATCTGAATCATCTGGAAAACAGGAATATTTTTACACAGAAGAATCACACTAACATTGAGTCTTTGTGACAAAATAGCTGGAGCTTCAATAAAATATTAATGTGCAGAGAAATGTAAAAATTAGTTTTGTTTCTCCCTTGCCAAGGTCATTATAAAGAATGTAAAAACAACGAGTCTAGTGGCACTTTAAAGACTAGCACATTTATTTTATGCCCTAATAAATCTATGAGTCTTTAAAGTACTACCAGACTCTCTGTTTTTTCTGAAACAGACGAAGGCCAGCTCTACACCGCTGGAGAAAACTGATGTAAGATACACAATTACAGCTATGACAATTGTGTACCTGGAGGTGACTTACCTTTCATCGATTTTCTGGTGCGGCCCTACAGCAGGAGGTCGATGGGAGAAACTCTCCCATTGGCTTCCCTTACTCCTCACGACAGCGAGGAATACCGCAGTCGATGGGGGTGCCCCTAGAGTTCAATTTGGTCAGACTTTACTAGATCCGCTAAAGCGAACCCCAGAAGATCTAACACCAGAGAGTCGATCCTCCAATAAGCATAGACAAGCCCTAACACAGCTACCCCTAGGAAACCTATAAAGAATGTTTTGATCTCATATCTGTTGCTTGATAGACATGTTTCACAAAGTGCATAGAAACTACTTTTGAGAAGCCTGGATATTATTTCTTATAGAACCTGATTTAAACAATTAAGTAAATTGGGTGGCAACCTGGTTCCTTTGCAGAATTCCCACAGATGTCAATGGAATCAAGATTTCAATCACTGTGTTTTTCTTTTTCCTTCTTGAGCTACCCTAAACAGAAGTCTTACTCCGTGCTACTGAAAAAAAATCATTCAGAGTACTTAGAACAATGTGACGCACCTTCCCTTTCTTTGGCGTTTCAATCTTTGTCAAAGCCTCCTTTGTGTGCGCCTCCAGCAGGTCCAGATTGGGAATGGCGGGTGGCGGGCTTTCCTTCACCTTCTTTCCTTTCTTCTTCCCTTCTCCCTTGACTTTTGGAGTTTTGGGGAGCTTGGGGGGCTTGGGCGGTTTGGGAGGCTTGGGCGGTTTGGGGGGTTTCGGTGGCTTGGGGGTTTTCACAGCTTTTGGAGTCTTTTTTTTCAGAACTTTTTCTACAGGTGGTGGAGGGGGTGTCACTGGTACAGGCGATGGCGCTTCTTCCTTCTCCACAGGACAGATTTCCTCTACCTTCACGTTGGCACTCACTTCTGTTTTGTTGACTTTGAACGCGTTCTATAGTTGGGCAGAACATGAAACACAGTCAGTTCCAACTTCCAGGCCATTCATTATTCTGTAGCATCCCCCCTTCGTGTGGACGATAAATCCCCAACACCATTGTATAATGATAGGGGTGCCCGAAGCCAGGCTGGGCAGGAAATGGAGAACACTACAACCTACTGAAATTATGTTGTGCTGGCTTAAAATCTTCCCCACTCCTCCTTGGCAATTATTTAAGGTACAAGTCTGGTCAGAACCAACTCTTGTAAGAAGTTCCCCTGGATCAGTAATGAACACATCCGGCTATGGGTAGGACTTTCAGAGAAGCTCAGGTTATTATTTATTACGTGTATCGCAGTAGGAGCCACAGTCATGAACCTGTTATGCTAGGCACCGTACAAACATGCAGTAAAAAGCTTGTTCTTTCCCCAGAGAGTTTACTGCTTGGCTGTGTCTACATTGGCGCGATCTAGCGCAAAAGCAGCCGCTTTTGTGCAAAAACTTGCTGCCTGTCTACACTGGCCGCGAGTTCTTGCACAAGTACACTGACGTTCTAATGTGTGAAATCAGGGCTTCTTGCGCAAGAACTATGATGCTCCCGCTCAGGAAGAATCCCTCTTGTGCAAGTGTTCTTGAATTGTTCATGAATTTCTTGCGCAAAAAAAGTCCTATGGTTAAAATGGCCATCGGAGCTTTCTTGCTCAAGAGAGCGTCTACACTGGCACGGATGCTCTTGTGCAAAATCATGCCAGTGTCGACGTAGCCCTTTAGTGTTACCCTCACTCGGCTCCATTAATATTTTATCATGGACTACACAGGAGCACAACTAGCCCTGTGCTGTGCATTTAGCCAACAGTGCAATCCTTTGAAAGAAAATCCACTTGTATGTAAGTCATTAGTGCTGATTCTCTGGTGCCCTGAAGCTGTTCTGTGCAGCTCCAGTGGTGCAAGGCACCCCGAAGATGGCAGATCCAGCCATTGGAAGTTCCCAACCTAGAGGAATCCTCAGGAGGCCTCCAGCTTTCCAGCTTGCTTCTGCAATGTTCTCTCCCAGCGACCAGTGCTGAGAACATAGCTAGGTTAAAGGGGTGCAGCTGGAATACCCTTATACCAGGGGTCTCCAACCTTTTTAACCACAAGATCACTTTTTCAATTTCAAGTGTAATGTAAGAGCTACCTTAAACCAAATACCCTCACCCCACTTCCTTCCCACCCCTTTTTTGAGGCCTCACCCTGCTCACTCCATCCCCCGTCCTCACTCACTTTCACCAGGCTGGGTAGAGGGTTAAGGGGCAGGCTCTGGTCTTGGGCCAAGAGGTTTGGAGTGTGGGAGAGGCTCCGGGCTTAGCCCAGGGTGGGGGATTGGGATCCAGTAGGGGTGTCAGGGTGCAAGCTCTAGGAAAGAGTTTGGGTGCAGGGGGACTCATGTCTGGGGGAAGAGGTTGATTGCAGGAGGGGTTCAGGACTCGGACAAGGGTTCAGGAAGCAGGCTCTGACTGGGCACCATTTAACTCAGATGGCTTCCGGGTGCAGGAGCAGTGGGGTTAAGGCAGCTTACTCCTGCCCTGCCTTGTACCACTCCTGAAAGCAGCTGGCATGTACAGCAATGGCTCCATGTGCTGCCCCTCATCTACAGACACTGACCCCACAGCTTCTACTGGCCACGGTTCCCCATTACGGATCAATGGGAGCTGCAGGAGTGGTGTCTGCAGGCAGGGACAGCATGTGGAGACCCCCTGCTCTGGCTTTCTCAGGGGCTGCAGGGACATGGCAGCCACTTCCAGGGGCAATAATTCCCACAGGGATAATTACTCCTGCCACAATTGGTTAGGCATTTTAGAACTCACTACTCAAAGCATAAGAGAAATGAAAGTGATGAAATGCACAGACAAGTCAAAAACTAAAACTAACCCACTTAGCAAGCAGTGAAAGATGTAACAAGACCCCTCACATGTGTGTTGGGTCGGGGATGAGAGTGAAGGGCAGTGTGTGTTTGTGAGAGTGACAGCTTTGCATTGCCAAGCTCCCTCCATCCTCTTCTCCCTGTGTGGAGATGGGGTGCAGAAGTGGGGAGAGGAAAGACACCCTGACATCAGTGCCCCCCCTCTCTTCCCTCTCACACTCTGCAGAGCAAGCAGGATACTCCCGGGGGGCAGCTCCAAGGCAGAGGGCAGGAGCAGCATGACAGTGGGTGAAGGGGCAAGTGAAATGCTGACACTTGAGAGCTTCCTGACCAAACCGGTCAGGATCCCCTGTCAAAGGTTCCAAGATCTACTGGTAGATCCCAATCTACTGGTTGGTGACCACTGCCTTACACCCAGGGCCGAGCCAGGCAGCTGATAGCAGCTGATGGAGGGCACCTGATGGCAGCTGTAAGGACACGGGGCCCTGCATGGCCCGGTGTGCACGCTAGCAGCAGTGGCTGGGCCAGGCTGGGCAGCGCCGTGCGCCCTTGGGGCAGGCCCTGGGCTGCGCGCCAGTGGCTGCGGCTGGCCCGCGCATGCGCCAGGCACCAAAAGGGCTCAGGCTGGCCCTGCTTACACCCACCTGATCCCCACAGCCCAGAACAATCCTTGGAAACTACTGAGAGCCAGCTCAGATCCCAGCTACTCTAATCTTAATCAGAGCCTTGACTGATATTCAGGAGACTGAGGGATGGTAGCACAAAGGTATCATAAAAAATGCACCACACTAGGGACTCCGGCGGGCTGACCCATAGCCATGCTGGATCGACGTACCGGTGATCAGACGTATTTGTAAAGCTAAATTTGACATTCTAAAGCAGGGGTGGGGAACCACAGGCTTGCCTGGAGCCAGGCCCCCCGAGGCTCAGGGCCACTCCCAATACGGGGGAGCCCACATTGGCACGCCAGCCCACATTGGCACTCCCCACCACAGGGCTAGAGCATACAAAATCTCCTAGCCTGAGCCTGTAGGCACTGGTGTGCAAGTGTATTTCTTCCTTCCCTGTCGGGGCCATGTCAATGAGGGTTCTTGTTTGTTTGTTCGTTTTGTTTTGCTTCCTTCTTGTGTGTGGCCCCTGACTGATCCAAACAGGCTCCCCACCCCCTGTTCTACAGTAGCAGGATGCTTGTTCCCAACGGCAATAACCCGTCACACAAGCTGCACTTCCACAAGCAGAAAGGACAGTATCAAAGAAGTTAATATTAACTAACTATATTTTAAGATGCAGAGAGTCAGTATTTCCTCAGTTTGGTCTCCGGATTTTGTATTTCCTTTTCTTTTTTCCAGAGAATTCCAATATGGGGGAAAAAAACCCTTGTGCTGTTCTTATGTTTCAAATGCAAATCAGACCTCACAATACATCTCAAATTAATTCAGATGTGAGAATGCGGCAGAACCATGTTTCACACTGCCAGGTAAAATAAGCAGTAAAAAGCTGCCCAAATAAAATTAACAGCTTCTAATTAAAAAGAAATTGTTTTCTGCTGTGGTTGCCATTCTGAGCCTGCATTAAAAGGCATAAAGGGAAGAGACAGATTTTAACCGCAGTGATGTAAGGCAGCGGTTCCCAACCGCTGGGCTGCGGACCAGTGCCAGGCCGGGAACCGCTGGCTGCTGGGCCGCGGCAGCTCTGGGGCCAGGGGTAGGGTTCACCCCCAGCACCTCCCCTCCCATCATGGCTTTTGGGAGAGACGTGTCCTGCCCCACCTCTCAGCCAACCAGGGCCGGGCAGGGATGTAGTCTCCTCCCAGATGTGGAAGAGCTGTTCACTGCGCAGCGGAAGGGCCACGTGGAGCCCGGCACAGCAGCCTTAAAGCATCAGTGCTCAGCTGGAGGCTGGGAGACAGCACAGGGCTAGGTGAGGGGGACAGGGCAGGCACTGGGGGCTTCGGGGGCAGGGCTAGTGCTTGGGGGCTCTAAGAGGCAGGAGGCTGACACTGGGGGGCACTGAGGCATCTGGAGTGGGGAGCTGGTACTGGTGGACTCTGGGGGTGGGGTTAGTAGTGGGGGGGCTACGGAGACAGGATTGGCACTCGGAATGGGGCTAATATTGGGGACTGGGCATTGGCACTGGTGGGGGTTGGGTGCAGTGGGGCTGTGACACAGGAGGCTGGCACTAGGGAGTCTGGTTGGGGGCTCTATGGGGCGGGGGGCTGGCAATGCGGCATTTGGGATGAGGCACTGGCACTGGGGACAGAAGGCTAGCACTGGGGGGTTGGATGTAGGGGACTCTGGGGTCAGCGGCTGGTGCTGGGGGAATGGGGGGGGGGGGGGGGATCTAGGGG